GCCAATGTTGACTGTTTCCCCTGGGAACAGGGTGAAGGGGACCGCCGAGTTGATCCTAGCAACCCTGGCGGGCCTGAGACCTAAGCCTGGCATGCGCCCGAGGAACTTGTCCTGGCATACGGACGTGCGATGTCCAAAGCGCTTGCAGTGATGGCACTGCTCCTGACCATGATTCCCCTGAGCCTTGGTGTGGTCCGTCGCACCACAACCATAGCAACGGTTACGCATGGCCCTCATGAAGTCCTCGCGGGTCTTGCCATTACCCCCAACGGGGTTGTTCTGGTTGGCATGAGTGGGGACAGTGGCACTGATGGTGGTGGTGTAGGTCTCGGTGCGTTTCCGAGTACTAAACCCTTCTGCTTCTAGGGCCCTTTCAGCCCTGCATGAACGATCTTCCAAATCATCCAAGTCCTTTGGGTCTCCCTGGGCTAGGTCCATCGTCACAAGGAGTTTCTTCACCTCCGGGTTGAGTCCACTTCTAAAGCGGATCATGAGGTCGGCGTCGGAGAGGCCTGTCTTGGCCCCTGCATCCCGGAAGTCCTGGCTATAGACGGTGACCGCCTTGTTACCCTGCTTCATGTGTTCCAACTCCCGGATAGCGTCTACTTTCTCATTAGCGGCGCCAAACCGGACCTTGAACTGCTTTTCAAAGGTCTCCCATTCCCCTTCAAAGGGGAATTGGACGGTTGCGTCGGTCATGGACTCGTTGGCTTGCTTTAGGTAGTTGGCCGCCCAGCGACCAGCTTTCCCGCCTTCGCAGAAGGATAGCGCAGACTGGATAGTTTTCCTGTTGTCCAGTTTCCCAACATCTTCAGCCGTGACACCTGCCCCCTCTTTTATCCTCAGTGCCTTCTGTTCCGAGGCCCAGTTCCTGAACATAGGTAGGAACCTAGCGACATTGTCTGCATCGCCCTTGAAGACGGCGGGCTTCGCAATGACGGCACCTTCATCTTTATTGGCTTTGAAGGCGTCCTTGATAGCGTTTAGCTGGGCTTGCTGGGACTGTTGTTGCTCGACGAGACGGTTAAGGAGGGTTTCGAGGGTGGCGTTGGCGGTAGATTGAGTAGACATACTGGAAATAGTGGAAGTAGCGGTGTGGGAATCGGTGGTGTCGGTTGGAGATGGAGATCGATGCGAGAGAGCAGAGAGAGGTCGTGGAGTGGCTGGTCCAGAACCTACGGGAGTGGGTGGTGCAATAAACGGTAAGGCAGCGGAGGCTGTGAGATCGGTTTCTGGTTCAGGAGCGGGAATAGGACTGGGGAACGGTAATGGGACTAGTTCTGATCCGTCGGAGAATTGTCGAGCTTGTGGGATTGAGTTTAAAGGGTTGGCGTGTGGGCAGGTGTGGAGTTCACAAAGTCTCCAGTTGCGGTTTTCAGGGTGGCGGTGCCAGTGATGTTGGTCTGCGGGATCAACTGCGTGAATGAGATTCGAACAAGGTTTGGAAGCCGTGATGATCTTGCAAGGACAACCCTACCACTGGTTAGGCTGTCAGTGCAATAAGGATCTTGACCTAATGTCCTAAAGCGCCGAACGCTAAGACATTGGACACAGAGATAACGGTGGTGGAAGTCGTCTAGCAGAGACGACAACGGAGAGCAGAGACAGCGAGCAAAGAGCAAGACAGATAAAGGAGCTGGTCCCAATGACAAGTTAGATATATTGAAGGTAAAGAGAAACAAAGTTATCTACTCACCTGGTCCCAATGACAAGAGGTCAAGATGAGGGACCAGGTGTAAACTGCCTAGCTTATATACTGGAATGTGAGTCGCGCGAGAATAAAGAAAGATAATAGGGAACAAGGAAAGAACAATAGTAGTCCAGGTATGGAATAAGAACGAGTCCGGAACGAGTAACTGTTGTATATAAAAGAACAAAGAGAACAAGGGAAACAATGGATAGGATGGGTTGTGAAGACGATGTGAAAGAACAAGGATGAGGAAGGAAATGATGGGAATGATGAAGAGAGGGGAACCGGGTATCTGGTAGGCGTCAAAGTAACAAATGGGCGTCAAAGTGACAAACAGGCGCTGAAAGGGGAATGGGCGCTAAGAAAGGAAAAGATAGGGGAAAAGCGGCACTTCATGACACATCCATCTCGAATGAAAAACGCAGCAGCTGCGGAACCCACCCTTCGACAAACCATATAAAAGGCACGCGTTTCAGGTTCAACAAAGTGTGCTCTGAGCCTGTTAGACGGGCGCGATGTGATTCTAATGTGCGTGCTGCGGAATGATGATAACCAGAATCAAACTGCACTATCAGTATGGAGAGGAGAGCTTTGTTTGTTTGGATGTCGACACACAAGCCAAGAATGAATTCGGAGATATCAGGAACATACGAAGATGAGGTCCGTTTTCCCGAGTTCCTCCATCTACCAACAATTCTTGGCGCTCTTCCCTCTTCCTCAAACACTCCTTCTCCCTCCTTCCTCCCAATAACGAGCTCACTCTGACGCTTCAGCGGCCGGCCTGATTGACCGATGGATTTCAGGGCGGCTGTTAACGTTCCAATTGACTCAAGAGGGGCCGTCGTCGAGGTCCGAGGAGAAAGCTACTCCAGGTGAGATCGTTCGCCTCTGTGTGACCAGGAGAGGGTTAGGTGTAGGCCTATCAGCGGATATTGAAGAGACACATACGTTGTTTGAGTCGAAGCTTGGACAACAGCAGAGTAGCGGAGGTTCGTGCCCTCCAACGATTGGTTGGGCACGGTGTGAATAATTAATGCTACAAGACGACGGTGAGTCCATATTCTGATGCAGATAGTGAAGAGGCAGAAGGGAAGGGGTGAAGGATGGGGCAGAGGTACAAACAGAGAACGGTTGCGATAAGTTGAAGGCAAAACTACTCACTGGGTGGTACACGTCACGAAGACTGCCGCTCTCTCTCGTTTACTGTCGACAGAGAACGCCCTTTCTGTGCGTCCAGAGCTCTCTCAGTTTCTTCCGCCCTCACCATTACCCCAAGCCCTTTCTCGAGACCGCTGCCACCTGATCGATGATTTCCCCACACAGCCCTCGAAGACAAAGCCAGCCGAACGGAAGACCAATTGAACAAGAGAAGTGATTTAGAACGATAAGGGTGTCGATGCCCCTCTCTTATCAAGAGATTCTGATCTGGTTTTCAATACCCCGAAAAGTGAACTTAGGGGTAAAATATTGACAAGGTGAGGGTAAGGAATTCGAAAGGATCGGATGGTATGGGTTGGCAAGAAACTCCAAGGTATATGTTGTTTTGACCTTCCAATGCGTTGTGTTCGAAGTAAAGTTGCCTAGGTAAGAGTTCGCCATCCGTATAATTGACGCAGACTGTAAGTCCTCGATCGCCAAATTGGATCGTACGTGGCGAACTAGTTGAAAAGGAGTCAGAGGCTGGTTGATAAATGGTACACCTTCGAAGGTTGCTGCTCACTGGCACCTCGTGAACGCTACTTAGTAGCAGAGGACCTTAGGAAGCGCGTTTTGCGGAGCCATGCGATGCGAAAATGGAGGATCAAGTGTTCTCAAATGTAAGGGAAAATTTGTTTTAGTTGGGCCACCTGCGAACTGGGTGGTTGAGAAAAATTATGGAGGTGATGCAACCAAAAAAAAAAGCATTCAAGAACACACCCTAGGCCCAGGATAATGAAACCTCAACCGAACGTGAGCACGTCGAGCACCGTATCTTGTAAGTTGGGGCGAGATCGCGTGAATCGGGCTATGCTGAGAAAAGGATCAGAAGAGATCGTGGAGGAGTCAATCGAAACTGAAAAGACTAGATAGCGTACCAAGGCGTGCCGCATGACCAGAGATTTTGGGCTTGCCGAGTTCAAGATTATGACACCGTTGGTGAAGTGGTTATCATGCTTGCCTTCCATCGATCAAACCATTAAGAAAGCAAGCGGCTCGGGTTCGATTCCCGAACGGTGTATGCGCCTTAGTGCTGTCTTTTTGTACACCAACGGTCCGCACCATTTTGTCCTACCGGCCTTTGCCAGTCGAATGAGCATGGCGTTTGTGTGGGACGAACAAAATGGCACACAGGCAAGCTTCTTGAATATGCCACATTCATGATGGTTGCTCCGTTGATGGCATTATAGCCCACAACCTGTGCCAATTGAGATTGGTACATGATGATCTTTTGCGACTTGAACCTCGCTGGTGATGCAATGCACATGGTCTACAGATCTGTGCTGCGTAGAGGGCCTGCGGAAACCAGGTCGGGGACATCGAAATTGATCGTTACTAGTCCACAAGACTGACTCGGAGGATGGGTTCAGGTTATGAACCGCCTGAGCTCCCGGCGAGGAATTGAGGTATTAGGTGACCCTAGTGACTGAATGCCGCAAAGTCGTTGCGAGTGTACTTGGTCTTGCTATGCAAAGCCGTGTTAGCCATGTAGGTCGATGCACTTTTGGCGATCTCCCCTCCGCCACAGTACTGCGGGGTGTCAGAGAGGTTGGTAACCGGATCCAGGAGCCACGTTGAGTACAAAGAACTCGAGAGGGATATAAGACCTCATTCATCATCGAGGTCCGGCAGTCTGGGTACTCAATCACTTTCTTTCTACTAACTAACCACTTCTCACTTCTTTCGACTACGACTTCTATTGACTATGAAGTTCTACTCTTCTATATTCACTCTTTTCTGTCTCTCTTCTACTACGAATGTTCTTGGTAGTGTGATCCCCCACCGATTTGGACGCCGGGATTATGGTGATGTCGGAGACCCTCACGACATGGTCGACTGGTCCCAACATCAGTTCCAAGCTCCTATGGAGACTGATGCTAGGAGTCCGTGTCCTGGGTTGAATACGTGAGTAGGACTTTTTATAATGCAAGATGGTCTCGAACGTTAAACTGATGGAATTAACCCCCTACTGCAGGCTGGCAAACCACAGATTCCTCCCACGTGATGGCAATAATATCACGATCCCTATGGTTCTGCAAGCGTCTAACAGTGAGTTCAACTCATTCACAACTTGTGGCTACTAATTTCTCCGAAACTCCTAAAACCAGACGGGTTCAACGTCCAACGGGACATGGTACTCCTTGCCGCCAAAGCCGCACTCTTAACCTCACCTCTCGATGACCAATTCTCTCTCGCTGATATTGGCCTGTACGTCGTCTTCTCCCAGTTACCAAACTACCTTTCACCTACTCACCCACCCACTTACTTCATTAGACACAGAAACATCGAACACGACGCCTCCCTCTCCCGTCTCGACCGCAACCTCGGAGACCACATCCCCTTCAACGAATCCATCTTCACAACCCTCTCCACCTCCAACCCCGGCGTCGATTTCTACAACGCCACCTCTGCTGGTCAAGTCCAAAAAGCCCGGTTGGAAGAGTCCAAATCCACAAACCCAAAACTCCGTAGTACGATTAAGGAGTTTCAAGTCCGCTCACGGGAGTCTTTGCTCTACCTCATGGTCATGAGCGGTGATGAGCTGGGTGTGGCACCGAAGAGGTTTGTGGACGTGTTCTTCCGGGAGGAGAGGATGCCGATTGAGGAAGGGTGGAGGATTTCGGGGGTACCGATTGATCAGGCGAGTGAGGCGCCGATTGTGGTGGAGATTATTAAGAATTCGGAGTTTGTGCCGGAGGAGGAACAGTGTCCGTAGGTGGTTTTGGCTCTGGGTGGGGCGGAGGATCCGATTAATGAGGGGACGATTTGAGATTTTTAGAGACGCCTGGTGAAGGGAGGTCAAGCTGAGCTTGATTTCCGCCCAACACTTGGGTTTTTGAATTCTTTATCTATCTATCTATTTATTTATTAGTATGGCAAATTGTTTCGATGCAGGCTTGGAACTGTGTTCTTCCTGCCAGATTCGTTTTTTGTTCAGGAAGCTCCATGTGCTGTTACGAGGGTGAGAAAAATGGACGTACTGGTTGTCTTGTAATCAGTCCCCGTTTATCACACAAGACCGCAATCAATTTTTCCAACATGGAGTTCAGATCAGGACCAACCAATGAGTCGAGACTGAGAGTCGATGAATTGATTTTGATGCCTCTGGCTTCCGGTAGGCGGTCTGTGTGTGAGAACATACTAAGTTCGGGCCGGCTCTACAAGGTCCGCTATCGCTAGTCAGTCTTTCCCTCTGCCCAAAACGACCACCATCTGTTGTCGCTACAGAGACTGAAACCCAGCTGGTCAACTCGCATCACTGTGCACCTCAAATTTTCCATCAAGATCTATCCAACATCCTATTTTGGTCTCAGGAACGACATACTTGTCCCAATTCAAAGCTTCACGCCCAGCTAATAACACAAAGTCTCAGTGGGGCACTGATCAACTTGTCTCCCTCACCTGTCTTGACTCAATTCTTCCATCAGACGAGAAACTCCTGTTCCTCAAAAGTGGCATCAATCATGATTTACTATTCAAATCATCATGTTTCCGGAGGTTTAACAACTGTGCGAGATCACGCGAAATTTGATGCTGGCAAAAACGAAACACAACAGATTGAAATGTCATGGGAACACAATTGCTGCTCAAGCTGATAAAGTTGCGAAGCCGCAGGGCTGGGGTACTTCACTGGCATTTTTATCCAGTGTTGAATCCGCGGCCTAGATCTTAATCAGTCCCGGTTCACTTCTCCCGCAGTATGATTATGCGGGACAGTACTTCGTGACTGTTCCATTGTTCTATATGCTCCATATGTACAATCTCTATTAGATATCTCTTTATGGTAGTTACATTCATTCTACTCGTATATAAGCTGGTAGTTCTCTACGTGAATCTACAGTGTGCTTGAGCTTCTACGTCTCGCCTCTATAACTCTCTCAACTCTCCTGGTAAGTAATAGTTGTAGTAATGTAGTAGTCCACTGTGCTAGGCGTCATGCCAGCTCTACAGGTTATGGGCCCCGGTTAGCCCTACTACATTGACGAGCGCCGTTATGGCTGCTGTCAACAACGAGCGCCCTTGTGGCTGCTGTTGCTAGTCGATGACGAGCGCCCTCACAAGCTGCTGTCAATGGCTAACTAGGCTACGCCTGTACATGCCATCGACCTCTTCATTGAGTGCTCGATCTATGGCATTGATGTATCGTCCTTCGACGACATCGGATCTAACGGATCCAGTGCTCATCATTGAGCATAGCGCCCTTCATGGCTGCTTACCCTGTGTTTTGATTAGACGCATGCTGATGCTGTCCTTTCACAGATCCAAACCCAAACCTTTCGATCAATATGCTCGATCTCCAGAAATACTTTGGAAAGAACCTCTTCAACGGCCGTGACTTCCTACAAGTCTATGAGCCTGCGATGGAAGGTGTCTCCAAGGCTGAAGGCCTCTGGGAAAACCTGACCGGTGAAGACAAGGACATTCCTCCTCCTGAGGACACTGTCACCACCGAGACCGTTGGTTCTGGCCCTCAGGCCGCTACTCGCGGTGTAACCACCCCTCCTACCGCGTCGGAAATAGCCGAGTGGAACGCCAAGCGTGCTCCTTGGAAGAAGGATAGCAACATGTTGAAGGGATTCATGCAGCTCACCATGACACGTGAGACGTACATTCCTATCAAAGACATGACGGCCGCTGATGCCTGGGACTATCTCAAAGAAACCTACGGCAGGCCTACCCTCTCCAACATCTATGGGGATTTCCTTAAAGCCGCTACCTTCACCATCGATCAGAACAATCCCCTCGGCTCCATTGCCAAACTCCGCACCTACTTCGAGCGTCTCGATGCTGTTGATGTCATTATTCCCGAGCTGGTCAAAGCTCTCATCCTTGTGCAGGCCATTCCTAAGGTCTGGGAAGCTGCCGCTTCCAAGTGTCTCCACGACTTCTATCATGAGGATGATCCGAAGACTGACCAAGAGCGAAAAGATGCCAACCCTGGGAGAAAACCAGCCCTTACCCTCGACCGCGTCCAGGACGCTATCATGGTTGAATATGAGCGGTTAAACCCTCAGTTCGCCGGTCGACTCACTGCAGTCAAACGTGGTGGGACCAACGCTCCCTCGTTTCAGCAGCAGCAGCGCCCTCGCCCTTCACAGCGTCAACAACAGCGTGGGCAGCAGCAGCAGCAGAACAATCAGCAGCAGCGTGCTCCTTCTTCGAACCAAGACAAAGGTAAAAAGAAGAAGCAGCAGCAGCGAGGCACGCGTGGTGGCATCGATAGGGATGCTGGCAACTCTGGTGGCAATCGTGGTGGCAACCGCCCTCATGGTCATTCTCACTTTGCCTCTGTGGCAAGTACCATCACTCCTCCCTTCTCCTCCGTCGCGAAGCGCAAGGATCGAGTCGCATTGAATGCGATCGAGCAGTCTCTCCGTGCTGAGATCGCATCGGAGAACACCTACCCTCTCCCGACTAGTCG